GGAGGGCCATAACTTTCAGTCATGTAGCTTATGTACTGTCCAACCCTAGGGGTTGCCATTTGCATCAGAGTCTACAACCCTAAGAGATGAATCTGGGATAATCTTTAATTTGTGCATGTCTAGTGTCAAGGTCTAGTTTTACTGTTTAAGTGCTAGCAAAAAGTTTTCTTTGTCATGGATGTTGTCTCATAAGCCATCCTCAGCAACTTGAAAGTTTGCTAAGAGGCAGTGGCTCTTTGAGTCACCTCTGTTGATGACCTAGATCTCCTTGACCTAACCCACCTCGTACCAGGAGATGAGGAATAAATAGTTACAGCTGAAAAAGATAAAAATGACTTTAATGTACAATGATAAAGGGTTTCAGAATCTACAGATTTCCCTCTTTGATTCGTGATCCCAGAAATGTCATGACCCAGTAGGATGTTCTCTAGTAGTTTATGCAGAGGGCAGTAGGAGTGGCACTATTTTAAATACCATTAAACTTTTTCTCCTATTAGGAAAATATATATTCATCCTTGAAGAAACATATTCCAGGCTTGACAGTGAAAAGCAGTCTTTTCATTGACGCCAGGTCTGTAGTAAGTTCTTCCTGAGCCATATTCTCTCTCCTAGATGATTTCTGGAGTCACCCTTCATTCTGGTCTTTCCTGCTGTCATCTGGGAATTGAGTGCAAGCTCTCTTCAGTGGAAAGGCATGGTTTATTTTGGTCAGAGGCCCAAGTCACAGGACATGTTTTTTTTTTTTCATTTATTTTTATTAGTTGGAGGCTAATTACTTTACAATATTGTAGTGGTTTTTGTCATACATTGACATGAATCAGCCATGGATTTACATGTATTCCCCATCCTGATCCCCCCTCCCACCTCCCTCTCCACCCGATCCCTCTGGGTCTTCCCAGTGCTCCAGGCCCAAGCTCTTGTCTCATGCATCCAACCTGGGCTGGTGATAGGTTTCACCATAGATAATATACATGTTTCGATGCTGTTCTCTCAAAACATCCCACCCTCGCCTTCTCCCACAGGATCCAAAAGTCTGTTCTGTACATCTGTCACAGCACATGTTAACCAGTCTCTGTGTCCCATGACTGATTTAACTTCGACCATATCCTATAAACCACTTATGCCCTACCCTCAAAGTTGGTAAAGCTCATGAATGAGGTTGCAGAAATTTTGAAAATACTGTAATAGCATTTTGAGTTTGTTGTCTCATTTTGCCTTGGAAGTTTACTTCTGAGGGGATCATTTCTCAGGAATGCCAGCATTGTGGCCTGGTAGAAAGAATAGGAGTCCCACCAAACAAATGACCATGATCCTTCCCCTGAAACAGGGATCCCCAACCTCTGGGATCTAATGCCTGATGATCTGAGGTGGAGCTGATGTAATAATAATAGAAATAATGTGCCCAATAAATGTAATGGACTTGAATCATCCTGAAACCAACACCCCTTTCCCCCTACCACCCAGTGGAAAAATTGTCTTCCACAAAACTGGTCCCTGATGCCAAAAAGGTTGAGGACCACTGCCCTGGAATATATTGGGCCTCTTTCTACACCTATAGAACAAGAAACTCAGCTAGGTGAATTCTGAATTCCTTTCCAAAAACAGACTGCTCTGGTACTCTTTCTAGAACTAAAATTAGATAACTTGTGCAATAAATCTTATAAGTCAGCTCTTTGAATTTCAGGTGGAGTCAGGTCTAAGGCATTTGTATAGCAGAGTTTTTTGGGTAGAGACTTGGTTCATTAAATACAGCTTTTTTAAAAAAGGAATGCTCCAGCAGAAGCAATATGGGAAGCTGCTGTATAGCACAGGGAGCTCCGCTGGGTGCTCTTTGGTGGCCTAAGTGGGTGGGATGGTGGGGGGAGGCTCGAGGGAGGGGGTATATGTATACATATAGCTGATTCATATCGTCGTACAGCAGAAACTAACACAACATTGCAAAGCAACTATACTACTGCAATCAAAAAAGAAAAAGGGAATGCTTTTGGAGGGGGAGCTGAGTTCAAAAATTAAAAATAGATTATTTTTTAAACTTACATATGAAACTTATGCATATAAGTATATAATTCAGTGAATTTCTGGAACTGAACACATCATGTAACCAGCAAGCAGAATATTACCTGAACCTCAGAAGCCCGCTTGTGCCCACTTCTGATTGTTACATCCACTGCTCCCTTCCAAGGATAATGACACTTCCAACCTCACTCCATCGTAGTTTTTTTGTGCTTTTGTTTCTCATCTGAATGGGATCGTGGGCAACATGCATTCCTTTTATGTCTGGCTCTTTTATCTTACAATATATTTCTGAAGTTCATCAATATTATTGTATGTAGCTGTAAGAGACACTTAAGTTTTTCTCCAAAGAGACATTGCTGTATCTTTGCATAACGATATTAGCATTATCATTCAAGTGACTCATTCTGGAGGGTCAGCAATATACCATTATGAACAGAGAGAGGATAAAAGTGCTGGAGAGGAGGGACAAACCAGGGGCACTTTATAATTTATTAACATAGCATGTTATTAATGTATAATACAATTTACAGTATTGATTTTAAAAATTTTAAGTCCTCTTTGGAAGGAGAAGGATTCACTTCCTGCTCAAAGACGTTATCTTGCCATGCATGTCCAAGGAAAGAGTTACCTCCCTGGTACTGGCAATGGCTATTAAATTATAGGATTCCTTTTATTAAGAAAATTTGTTTATTTTATTTTTGGTTTCACTGGGTCTTTGTTGCTGCAAGAGCTTTTCTCTAGTTGTGGTGAGCGGGGGCCACTCTCTAGCTGCAGTGTGCGGGCTTCTCAAGGCTGTGGCTGCTTTTGTTGCTGAGCACACGCTCTAGTTGCGTGGGCTCAGTAGTTGTGGTGCATGGGCTTAGTTGCTTCACGGCATGTGGAATCTTTGCAGACCAGGGACCAAACCGGTGTCCTCTGCATTGTCAGGAGGATTCTTACTCACTGGACCAGCAGGGAAATCCTAAATTATAGGACTCAACAATTGCCAGCTTTTCCTGGAGACTGAGAAATTGTGATTTATTCCCATCTTTCCATGTCCTCATCTCTGTAATCCTCACACAGACAAGGTACAGGATAGCTGTTTGTTTACTGACTGACTGAAGAGCCTACAGCTAGCATTTATAGTCCCTTCACAGTGCCAGCCCCCGTGCCCAGATGTCTGCTTTAATCACCAAGCAACACTATCAGGCTGGCGCTGTTGTCACAGTTTGTTAGGTGGGGAATCTTGGCCATTGGAAATAATTTATCCAGAGTCACTCAGGACATTGTGTGGCAGAACCAGGACCTTTGACCCCATGCTTTTAAGCCTTCACTGTGGTGCCTGCACACTCTGTCTATCTTGAGTTGAGGGAGGTGCAGTGGTGACTGGGTTTGTGGGTGCCCCATGGCCAGGAGCTCTGCCAGCTGAGAACACATAGCCTGGTGTGTCCTGGCCCCTTCCTTGCTGGCTGTGTAGAAGGAGCTTGCTCAGTGGGCTCTTAATGCCTGAGCCCTGTAGGTGGAATGTGATTTCCCGGCTGGCTTCTTCCTCCCTCAGCATCTCACACCAGCACCTGCTGCTGGTGCTGACTACCTGTCATGGAGTTCCGTCGGTCATCTCCTCTGCAGTTTTCTCTGTGTGCCGAGCTCCTCCCAGCCCCTGCCCCACCTCCACCACATGTATTTCATCTAGTTACCACCTAGTCAACCCTCACATCTCATCTAGTGTATATTGGCTCTCAATGAATATTTGTTGGAACAAAGTTAATAAATGAATGGTAAATAAGACTTTTAAATTCAGTACTGATATAAATTTTGCTTTTTGAAAAATGTTGACTCTGCTGAAAAATGTCGAGTAGAAAAAATGATAATGAATTAACATCAAATAAAGAGGAAATGGAGCATATCTATCCTTTTACAGCCTAAGACATAAATGGGATAAGATTCTGTGACCTCTTCTGATTCTTAGTTGTTTTTTAACCAGCCTTTATGTAGTGGTAATTGTTACATATGCAGCATTTTGTGTTTTTAAATTCCTCTCTTGATATTTTACAGGTATTGATGTAATAGGGAACAGCCAATTGGATGTTGGATCTATTTCTTTGACTTTAACCTTTGCTTTTCGTGGCTTTTGTTATTATAATCATACATAATGTCCTGCCCAAGGGCTTCCCTGGTGCCTCAGTTGGTAAAGCGTCTGCCTGCAATGCGGGAGACCTGGGTTCGATCCCTGGGTCGGGAAGATCCCCTGGAGAAGGAAATGGCAACCCACTCCAGTATTCTTGCCAGGAAAATTCCATGGATAGAGGAGCCTGGTGGGCTACAGTCCATGGGATTGCAAAGAGTCGGACACAACTGAGCAACTTCACTTTTCACTTTTAATGTCCTGCCTCAGGGGACCTTGCCCCTCTGCCAGAATGTTAAACCAAAGTGCCTTTGTTCAGCTCGTAGGGAGACAATCTGCCCCTGGCCCTGTGAATGACTGCAGAAAAGAAGAAATTAACACATGCTCTCCTGTTTTACAAGATAAATGGAAATGGCCTTTTTACTTTACTTCCTCGTCTCCTCTCCCTCTCTGTTCTATAAAAGAAACTGGCATGTAGACCCCATAAGATCAATTTTTGGGGGGATACTAGTCTGCCAGCTTGCTGAATAATCTCATACTCCTTGTGTCGAACACCTCATCTTGTGGTTTATTGGCCTGTCTTGCTACAAGTAGAGTGAGCTTGGACTCGGTAACATTGATGCTTTCCATAAATCTACATGGACTGCCTTGCCTATCATTTTTAATATATATTATCCCAGTGACTCTGTCTCCCATAATAAACATGGGTTTTGCTTTTTGTAACCAGTGCCCACCTGGCATTGCCAGTTCTCTGGAACCAGAGTGTTTTAAAGGGAGGCGTGTTGCAGGTTGTCTTGCTTGAGGAACTGACCTTTTGGGCATTGCTGTCTTATGATTATAGCAAGCTGTGATGATGTGTTTTCCCCTTATTTTATTTCAGGATGTTTTTCTCTGGTGGGCAGTGTGGCCACGTTGGCAGACCTGAAGAACTTTTACTGATGTTTAAGGTAGCCCTTGTCATCATTTTTCTTCATGTCACTCTGGTTACATCCCTGGAAGGTAAGATGCTCATTTTCCTTTATCTTTTTTTCTGTTTTATCAGTGTGTATATTTGTGTGTTTGGGAATTCTTTACAATGGTAAAATTAGCATAAAACATTTTAAAAATTTTTAAGTGTACAATTCACTGGCATTAAAGGTAGTTCACAATTTTGTGCAGCCATCACCACTATCCATTTCCACAACATTTTCATCATCTGAGATAGGAACTCTGTACCCATTAAGTAATAACCTGCCTCCCCGCTTCCTCCCAGACCCTGGTAACCTCTGTTCTTTCTCTCTCTCTAATTTTTCCTCTTCTGGGTACCTCGTATAAGGAATTATACAATATCTGTCCTTTTGTGTGTGGCTTATTTCTCTTAGCATAATGTTTCCAAGGTTCATCTATGTATCAGAATTTCATCTCTTTTTAAGGCTGAATAATGCTCCATTGTATCTGCATACCATACTAAGTTTATTTATTCATTGTTAATGGCATTTGTGTTATTTCCATCTTTTGGCTACTATAAATCATGATACTGTGCACATTGTGTAAGTATCAGTTTGAGTCCCTTCTTTTTATTCTTTGGGGTGTATATACCTAGAAGTAGAATTGCTGGTCATAAGTAGTTCTATGTTTAACATTTTAAGGGTCTGGCAAACTGTTTCCCACAGTGACTGCACATTTAACATTCTTACCAGCAAGTCACAAGAATTCCAATTTCTCTGTATCCTCACTAATATTTGTTATTTTCTGTTCTTTTGATAATGGGTGTGATATGGTATCTCATCATGGTTTTTGTTTGCATTTCCTTAACGATTAGTTATGTTCAGTGTCTTTTCATGTGCTTATTAGCCATTTGTGTATCTTCTTTAGAGAAATGTCTATTCAAATCTTTGGTCCATTTTTGAATTGGATTGTTGGGAAGTTTTTGTTGTTATTGAGTTTTCGGAGTTCTTTATATAGTCTGGATATTAATCCTTTATCAGATATACGATCTGCAAAAATTTTCCCCATCCTGTGAGTTGTCTTTTCACTTTTTTAAGTAGTGTCCTTTGATGCATAGAAGTTTTTAATTTTGATAAAATGCAGTGTATCTATTTTTAGCTTATTGCCTGTGCTTTTGCTTTTATATCAAAGAAATATCATGAAGATTTTCCCGTATTTTTCTTCTAAGAACTTTATAGTTTTAGCTTTTATGTTTAGGTCCTTTGATCCACTTTGAGTTCATTTTGTATATGGTGTAAGGTAAGTATCCAGCTGGGCTTCCTGGGTGGCTCACCAGTAAAGAATCCGCCTGCAATACAGGAGCTGCAGGAGACTCTTGTTCAATCCCTGGGTCAGAAAGATCTCCTGGAGGAGGAAATGGCAACCCACTCCAGTATTCTTGCCTGGAGAATTCCGTGGACAGAGGAGCCTGGCGGGCTACAGTCCATGGGGTCACAAAGAGTCAGACACGACTGAAGCGACTTAGCATGTGCACACGCAAGGATCCAAGTTCATTATTTGGATATCCAGTTTTCTTAATACCATTTGTTGAAAACACTCTTTTCCCCATTGCATGGTCTTGGCACCTTTGTCAAAAATTAATTGACCATATATGTGAAGGTCTGTTTCTGGTTCTTATTTGTTTATAAAAGTAGCTACTCAAAGGCACTTCTGTATGGAAATTTAAGGGAGATAGAGAATCACTCTAATGAAGCATTGTTTTCAGAAAAGAGGATCTCTATAAGTTTATGAGAGAAGGAGAAAAGGTACCTGAGGAGGGCAGTAAAAAGATCAGAATTACCAGGGCTGCAATATGTTTGGGTACAACTGCCAAAAGAATACAGTGCTATGCAAATATAAAGAATCATTACAGGAACTTCCCTGGCCATCCAGTGGTGAAGACTGCACTTCCACTGCAGTGGGCTTGGCTTAAATCCTTGATCAGGGAACTAAGATCCCACATGCCACATGGTATAGCACCCCCCCCCAAAAAAAATTCCTTATAAAGGAGACACTATTAAGGATACACAGAAATACCTTTCTTATTTAGAAGAGAATTTCAGGACCAAAGAATCTTTGTTGGATAAAACAAATATGTACTGGCAGCAAACAATGTAAGTATAACACACACAGATGCACACAAATAGAAAACTTCCCAACAGACTAATACACAATTGGCAGTCTTTCAAAAGTAGACACTGGGGCATATTGTCAAGGAGCCACAATACTTTACACGAAGAAATAAAGAGTCAATGTGTATTGACTACTCACAGTGTGCTGGTTCTCTCTGTGCTTTGCATATCAATACATCCACTCTCTTAAGCTGCTAAACAAAGTCTGTTGAGAGGAAATCCTAGTCTTAGCACCATTTCCCAAATCAAGAAACTCAGGCTCAGAGAGATAAGTAACTTGCTCAAGGAAGTGGCTGCGCTGGGAATTGTACCTAACTTGGAATTTTGTGCTTATAACCACAAAACCAGAGTTTTCAAACTTGAGTGTGCATCAGAATCACCTAGAAGGCTTGTTAAGACAAGCCCATCCATGAGAGTTTTGGATTAGTAGCTCTTGGGGGGGCCCTGATAATTGGCATTTCTAACAAGCTCCCAGGTGATGTTGATGTGACTGGTTCAGAGGCAATTCCATTGCCTCCACAACTGGCAGAAGACATAAGTAGGAAGAGAGAACTCCATATATACATCATGGGATACAAACTCTGTTGTGGTCATGTGACGTTCTTGTAAACTATGCTTACTCACCATTTCCTTGGGGCATCTTAATACAAGTATAAGGAATTACACTTACCCAGCACACTGACATCCCTGTGGGATTGTCAGGGCAAAAATCAAATGTCCTCACTTTACTGATGAGTAAATGTCCCCAGGAACATTATTGGTTAGGAAGCGGTGGAGCCAGACTAGATACTAGATCTTTGGTCTCATGTTTCAGTGCTTTTTCCACCACAGGGTAGGGAGGAACAAAAGTGGAACACGATGGGGAAAAATCATCTGAAGGAAAGCTGCTTGGTAGAAATAAGTCTTTTTTGAAGAAGTGTATTTAAAAATGATGAAAATAGGGGCTTCTGTGAAGCCAGAAGGTGGTCCAGTGGTTAAGAATCCATATGCCAATGCAGGAGACACAGATTCGATCCCTGATCTGGAAAGATGCCACATGCTGTGGAGTAGCTAAATCTGTGCGCCATGCTACTGAATCTGTGCTCTAAAGCTCGGGAGCCACAACTACTGAGCTCACCGTGTGCTGCAGCTACTGAAGCCCCAACGCCCTAGAGCCCGTGCTCCATACACAACTGTAGCTCCTGATCACCACAACTAGAGAAAAGTCCACACAGCAACAAAGACCAGCACAGCCAAAAATAATAATAAAATTAATTAATTAATTTTAGTAAATGGCGAAAATGGGCCAGGTAAACAGGAGAGGGCATGGCTCTGACACCAACCTGAGCAGGGAAAACCTTAGTGGATGCTAAGGTCACTGAATGTATTTCTTTGCCCTGGCTCTCTGATGAATTGATTTCTTCAGGCAGTGGTTCTCAGAGTGTGGCCCCCAGACAGGCAGCATCAGCATCACCTGGGAGCTTTTCAGAAGTACAGATTCTCAGGCCCAGCCTAGACCTGGTGAGTTGGGAACTCTGAGGGTGAGGCCCAGCTGTCTGTGCTTTAATCAGCCACCTGGGTGTTGTTGATGCCCACCCAAGTGTAGAACCACTGTCTTAAAGAATTGACTGAAACTTTACTGTGCCTCATGATATAGTAGAATATATCTACTATATCATAGTAGATCCAGGGTTTGAGCCCTCCACATGTCTGCCACCTGCTGTTTGTATGATCTCGATTTGCTACTAGACTGATATGGGGCTCAGATTCCTCATCTTCAAAATGGGTATAATCCTGAGCTCCTCTAAAGGGCTCTTGTAAGGCTCAATATATGTTAAAAAAGAAACTTCATGATGGCAGACATTTTTCTTTTTTTCTTTTCCAGCTCTTTTGACATACAACATTGTATATGCAAAGGTTTTTCTGAATGAAGTATGTTGGGATCTGGGAAGGGCTAAATTGGAGATCATTATTGTCTTTCAGAACTCCCATTAAGAGTATTCATGTTGTTTAATAATTACTTTGATAATATTTACCATGTGCAAGCCACTGTTCTGAGCCCTTATAAAAAGCTATTTCATTTAAAGCTTACTTAGTAACCCTTTGTAGTTGGCATTAGTATTATTAGCTCCATTTTATAGGAAACTGAGGCACAGAGAAGGTAAGCAACTTGCCCTAGCTTGCACATTTTGGTTGCAGAGCTGCAATTCCAGCTCAGGTCATATGACTCAAAGTTTCTGTGTTTAACCACTCCACTATCCTATCTTCTAGCATCCTTAAGCTCTCTGCTACACTAGGTTGTGTACTCTGCATAGCAGTTTTATATCTGTAGGTTAAAAATAAAGGTAGAATATGACTTTGATAATAAATACCTGTCCCTGGAAAAAAAAATAAAGGTGGAATCCACTTTAGGACTGGATGTCGGACTGGATCATCCATATAGCTTATAGGTACCATCTCTCTGAACAACTTTGGGCTGAGGCAGGTTCTCTTCAGTTCAGGATGCCTGGTCTTTCATGAAGGCCGAGGGTTCCTGTTGATTGTACTATGCTGGATAAGTAGTTGCGTGGTAATGAGTGCCTGCTGTGTGCCCAGCATTACTGCCTTCTGAGAGAGCATCATCTCTTGAGTCCAGGGAGTTTATACTCCCTGTTAAAAAAGTCATGCCCTAGAGGGGCATGTGGAAAAGGCAATGGCACCCCACTCCAGTACTCTTGCCTGGAAAATCCCATGGACGGAGGAGCCTGGTGAGCTGCCGTCTGTGGGGTCGCACAGGGTCAGACACGACTGAAGTGACTTAGCAGCAGCAGAGGGGCATGACTAGGATACATGAAAAATGGTACAAACTGTAATTAAATCCTAAAGTGTGAGTCAGTGCTATGGGACTCTTAACATATGGCTTCTGGCCAAGTTCATGCATGA